TGGGAAGACAAGGTTGCAGCAGCACCGTCAGATCCCTTCAGAGACTCCCCGATACTGACCCCTATCAGCCATCGCTTTCCTTGTGTAGGTCTTCCCTAGAAACAAAACACTGCGCTCTCCCAAATTCCAGCTCACATAATGCTCATACAATTAAAAAAAGCTAAATCGGCTGCTGTAAAACATCCACATTCTGGAAAAAAAAGTGATTCATTTTGAATTATGGCTAAATATTTTTCAACTCTTCCTTACGGGGCTTATTAAAATAGCCATATACAATGCTTCTGCTCAGCTGGAGATTGGCAATGTAATTTACGATCATATTCAATATAATTGTGTAGAGCACTGTATAGGTGCCAAAGCAACATTAACACAGTGTTGATCTTTTGAAGCAATTACGCTCAAGATCCATTTAGCTGATTGTTACACTCCCCGAAATTAAGGAGCTTCAGGATTCATAAGTTGTGTAAACACGGCTGTAATAAGAGCCTGTGTTTATCAGCAGCATCTGCAACAGCGGCCTGCTTTGCTTTGCTATAAATGATGTAATGGGTATTTTTCTACATGTCACTTTTCTCTCTCCTTTTTGCCTTGCTTTATTTTTCTTTCTCAGGTTTTGCTGTTTTAAAAGACACAATTTTCTGTATTACAGAAAATATGATATTAAAAGTATAGAGAAATATACATAATAGTGAAGGAAAAATATACAGCACTTTTACACAAAAGATGCAGTAATCTGACAGTTTAAACCATTTCATATAAGCATATAATACCTGGAGCAGGAAAAAGCCAGCCAATCAATCAATCAATCAATCAATCAATCAATCAAGACATTCATTTATGGTTGAAATTAGACAAATTGAGATTTTTATCTAGAGCATTTAATATTTTCCAATGTTGTCATTGCAGATATATTATAATGATTATATCAATTATATTGACATTCAGGGCTAAATGCATGTATTGTTTTGCCAGTTCCACCACAGTTTACATGCAATTCCATTGTGGCCGATGTAAACCAATTATTGAAAAATCCCTAGTAAATCAAATGCTATTGTTCACCTGTCAAAACTATATTGCGAGACTGAGACAGTAACCCTGTGGTACACCCATGTCTAAAGTCAGTGTAGTGTCACAGACATTGATCATTTTCACAATTGCTGTCATGGTCTGCCTATTCAGTGCCCCTGAAACCAGTTCAAGTTTCCATTGCATAAGCCTAAAAAGTGTGCACAGGGCAGAGCTGTCGTCAGTTAGCACCACAGAGGCATATATCATTACTTTGTGATAGCTGTATATAACTATACTTGAGGTTTACCAAAAGAATGCACAAGACCTGGAAAAAAATTTAATTGGAAAGGTTATTTTTTCCATGCCAAAGTCTGATTTTCATTTTGTTTTAGTGTTTACACTACAGTATATCTCAGTCTCCACTTGAATTTTTTTGCTGAAATATTCTTGATTTAAATCCACGTCATAGCACAAAGGTTAAAAAAACACACACACACACAAACCACCAACCTGAAATACAATACATAAAAATTATACATATACACTAAATATTTTCTGATAATTCTGATTCTGATAATGCATATACTTTTTGCCTTTCTAGAATATACACTATCATGCAAACATTCGGTGCCAGTAAGATTTTTTTAATGTTTCTGAAAGAAGTGTCTTATGCTCACCAAGGCTGCATTTAATTGATCAAAAATACAGTACAAAATTTTTAAATGTAATTTAAATAAAATAGAAATAGAATGTTTTTACTGTCACCTTTGATACATTTCAAGCATCCTTGCGGAGAAGAAAAAAAAAATAAAAAAATAAAAAAATTTACCCCAAACTTTTGGCCGGTTATGTACGTATAAAAAGAATATTATCAGAATAACAAAACTGACTGAGACTTTGACTAAAGAATAAAAATGAATTTTAAAGATTTACTATTGAAATTATTAAAGTGTCAAAACTAGTCAAAACTGCATTTGTAATGTTGCTGTCTAATAATGCTGACTGATTTGTTGGATCACACCTCTCACTCCCCTCATATACCCAATATTATTGTCTCAGACTTTTGCGGAAACTTGGTTATATCAAGAAAAAAAGGAGATGGTCATTATTTGAAATTTATTATGCTGAGCATGGTATACATTCAGCCAAGTGCTATTTGCTCACTTCAACCTTTACCCTGTATGTAGTTTGGAAATCATTAGTACTGAAAGAAATGTAATAAACTTGACAGTTAGTCTTTTTCGTGATTTAGGTTATGGGATTACGCTCCATTATTTCTTTGTGCAATTACTGCTGTTCTAATACCAACTATTTTGCAAACTAGCTTTAAATTTAAGCAAAAGCAAGTAGCTGGCAGTCAGACAAATATTTCCTGACTGTAAAGTCTCCACACTGGTTCTGACAAATAGAAATTCTTGTGCATCGTAATATGTTAAGTTCTAAATTATTCTGTGCATATCTTTCATGCATACGCTTGCGAAATTTTAAAGTGCTTTTATGTGCCATGTCTCCACATAGACTATGTGTGTGTGCATATGTACAGTATGTGGGAATGTATTAAGCACACTTTAATTCTGCTATGCAGGTGCCCCTGCCATGCTTCTTAAATGGATATTTCTATCTTTCTAATTCTATCATGTTTACTCTCCCTCATGTCATTCCAGACATGTATGGTTTAAATGTATGTATAATATATGTCTTTTTATTCATGCAATCAGAGTCAATGGGGTTTTTTTGGATCCCATTTAGTTTCATTGTGGGGAGAAAAAAAAATTGTGTTCCACAGAACAAAGTCACACACAGGTTTGGAATGACATAATGGGAGTGAGTAAATGATGACAGAATTTGTGAACTGTAACTACTTTATAACCTACCTTTAGGAAGACTACAGCTGACTAAACCAGCACTAAAGAGCACAAACTACATTAAAACGGAAAATTCTAAAAAAAAAAAAAACAAGCTGTAAACAATTTGCTGACACTGTTAGGATTTAAAAAGCCTATCTTCATACTACATCTAATGGTTGTGCTTTTTATATACACAAACTAAAAAGTTTGTCAGGTTGGAATCTGAAGGTCTAATCTGAATTGCCAGAAGTGGCAACTCTTGCACACTTTGTGTTTGGCCAAAGAAAGGGTTTGTTTTGGCCAGTATTCTCAAGAGACGCTGTGTGATTAGCATAGCATAACAGTTTGAGAGAACTAATCTATTTTTAGCGATGAGAATGCTGATTAGATTCCTGAAACTCTTTACCGGCACAGGCCACTATAAGCCAGCCAAGTGTGCAGGAAGCCACAGACTACAGCCCTGCTAAGATCCAGATATTTTGAAGTTGAGCGCTCGGAAGTGTTCACCTGCCTGTGCATGAGCTACAAGTGCAATTAATACTTTTTTATATAGTTTGCCTTGTTTCTGCCTTTTAAAATAAGAAAACTAAGTGGTTAACAGCTGAAAAAGGGGAAATGTTTGGCGTGACAACACTAGGTCAACCTAATAGCTTGATTCCTCCCCATAGCTTCACCAGTGAAAAGCATTTAAAGATCCCACAGGGAGTAAAACTACGAATGAACGCAGGAACTTATCATCAGGCTTTAGGAATAACAACACTTTCATCTTATCCGAGACATTCCCACAAACTAAATATAACAATTGTTCAGAGAGATACATATAAAACTTGTGTATCTCAACTTTCTTATAATTATTTTTCTTTTTTATTTCTGAAGGATCAGTAACACTGAAGACTGGAGTAATGGCTGCTGAAAATTCAGCTTTGTCATCACATTAATACATTATCCTTTAAAATATATTCAAATAGAAAGCAACTATTTTAATTGTAATAATATTTCACAATATTACTGTTTTTACTGTATTTTAATCAAATAAATGCAGCCTTGGTATGCATAAAAGAAACATCTTAGCAAACACAAACTTCAGAACGGTGCTGTATATAACAACCTAAAATAAAAGGTCTTTTATATAAACCCATATAACTTTGAATGTATTGACAAGATGTGTAACTGGTTGTGGCAAAACAAAAAAGTTCCTAAAATGTTTCAATCAACATTTTTACATTAAAATAATGATCAGCATTCACTTAAAAATCAGAAAGTACCTGTAATTGTGTTTTTCACTGTCGATGTGGAAACTGTCATACTGCGAGAAGACCTGGTGTCCGTCCCAGTCTGTCAGCTCCACACGGAGGGCATACTCCCTCTGATTGGTCAGAATGTGCACAAACTCATTTCCCAGCCAGTGTTCGGCCGACACGCTCCCAAAGCCCTAGAAAAGAGGGTGGACTCCGGGTGAGTTTAAGTATCTACTTGGATCACGGGAGGCCTTGGATAAGGCAATGGGAAAGAAAATCCTGTCCAAGATATTTCAAGCCTAATAGAATCAACACGGGGACGGAATTCCACAATTCATCATTTTCTTGAGATAATAATTACAGATTTCCAGAAAGTTTTGACACATGAAGGTATCAATAACCACTGGTCCGTTTCTGAGCCTAAATGTTTAATGGCTGCATCAGATCTGGGAAGACTGAGAAAACACACTACATTATGACATGACATTTACAGTACTAATATTTGATTTTTGTGTAATGCCAATGAGAAATGCAGATCTGTGTATATAGTATCTAAATAAACATGTAGTGCATGACATGACTTGAATGAGATGAGAAGCAGTATGTTGTCTCATGTCATTTCTATGCACACAAACACACACTCACACACAAAAAAATCATTTAACAGTTAAGTTTTTGCTTCCAAAAGATATTTTGGACGAGTTTCCATGTGTGGAATGGATCCATTCAGCTATAAACAGCTGCAGAAAGGCTTCTGAAACATGTCATAACGCAGTGCAGGTGCTAGCCACAGTAATAATTACAGTACAGCGTAACAGAACCATATCCAAGTACGAATACAAATCTTTAATGAGCAACATCTTTCCCTGCATTCCTCCCTGCTTCTGCAAAATGAGAAAATTTCCAGTGAAGGTAATGGAAATCACGAGTGCTGGATGGATTTAAACATACACATGCCTTCACGTATTATTTAAGCCTGCACGGTACAATTTTTTTTCTGTACGTAAAGAACAAATGCATATAATTACAAAAATCAAATAAAAGATTTCTAAGTAAATAAATAGGAAACATTGACACAGTGGAAAATTGTTAAAAATTATAACAGTTTCCTTGATTAAATTAGAATGTCTTTGTTTCTTGAATTAACAGATGCATTTGTGTACTTGAAGCTAAAATTGAATGAATCATTATCATAAGTTCTTCGATATTTTTCCTAAAAGCATTAAAAAAAAAATCAACACTCCTTTCCAAAAAGACTTCTCACTGTTGTCATTTGGTACAGCTAACACAGCTTGCCCTTTCCATTAAACATTTCTATAGTCATTTTGGTCTAAAAAGAAGAAATACAAATCAGAATTGTGTTATTTATGCATAAATGGAATTGTATAATGGAAAGCACTTCCAAATAAATGAATAAATGTAATATAATTGATGCCAGCATCTATAAACATTCTCAAGAAGTAAATGAAACACAGCAATTTTTCCATTACAATAAAGCATTGTCACACGGAAACTTCAATATTTTCTGTAAAACTACGTCATGATGTAGAAGAAACAGTGCAATTTATTAACAGACCAATTTGTGGAGATCTTCAGCAGAGAGCTCCCCTGCAAGTGGAGTCTTGAAAGGTCATGTGGTTTAAAAACTTCATTTTATTGGATGAGAAACAAGTGAGAAATTAAAGAGAAATATGTTGCCATATGGCTATACTGTAGGGATAGATAATTAAACAATGCCTATATGTGTTTATATGCAACCAAAATGAAGTGTGCTACAGGCAAAGTTATGATAATATGACTCATATTGCATTACAGACTGACTAAAACCTTCTTCTCGCTTATTAATTGCTGGCTCATGGGAGCAGGTGATTGATGAGCAAGAGTTTTGTGCAGTAAATATGAGACATTAATTTCGCCTGTAGCACCTCCTGTGAGAGTAAAGAGAGTCTGTCCTCCAAAAATCCTTGTAATGTGCATGAAACCTGATGGCTGTTTTTCCGTAACCTGTATCTGTTTATGTTGTCCGGGGGTGCTTGTTCTGTTCTGATTCGGTTTCCCCTTGGAAGCCTGGCCTTTGTACATGGGATCATCCCTGAGAAGCTTTCTTGCCATGAAACTGCAACATTTCTTATGTGAGTAATGTAGAGGAAAAACAAAGATCAATTGTTATTTTATACCCTAAAACAGGGAGTTCTCTTGGGTGTGTGGTTTTCTATACAACACAACATCGGTGTCTCAACAACTCACTCTGTTGCTATGTATCATTCCAGTAATAGCCATTCAAAGTGGGCTGTCAAAAACCCTTTCTCCTGTAGAGAAGAATGGAGAAAAGTCAGATTAACACTGCCAAAACCTAGGAACAATTGTTTCCATGGTCTAAATATCTGATTCCTTCTGATGAAGAGTTTCTCCCATCTTCTGTTGGGAAAATGATTGGGAAATAAAAACCTTGATGATGTTGATTGTGACTGGCTGGAGCGGATACTCAAACGAGGAGAGGTGAAGTTATTCCAATATTTCATTTGATCCAAACCAGAAAAAAGACACTACAAATAAAAGCTTCAGCGAGGAGCGCACCAACTCTTTCATGAGAGTCAGAGCTGACTTTATGTCCCTAAAACTCAAACAGGTCCAGGTCAAAGACATGGCTTTTTAAAAACATGGCTGCCATTCATTATTATCACATCGAATATTAAAAAATAGGCATGTCATTGGTCAACTGTCATTAATCAACATATGTTATTTTGAGGGCAAGTGAATTGATACTCTCGCTGCCTCTTTTATTTGAGTGAGCATCAGAAATTTCACTATTCTTAACCCAACACAGTACAACACAGACAAATGTTTTGATCTTTTTGTCCTATATTTGATCTTCGGAATAGGCATATTTGATCTTTGCCGTTTCTGGCAAGTCCAACGCTGCGTTAGCTTCAGTTCCCAGTCTGGATCTCTTCAACAGCAATGTTTCCATCCAAGTTGCGAATTTAATTTACGCTATGTTTGCTAGCAATCGGTGGAAGATGCCTCATGGCTGGATGTGACAGTATGTCAGAAAGTTCTGGGAATTAATAGTAGAGCCCATTATTTTTATGACAGACTTCGGCTCTAGCATTTCAGAATGACCAGAGCAGGGTTGCTATTATTAACTAAAACTATTCAAATTAATTGTTAACTGAAATAAAGTCAGTAAAACAAAATTGAAATATTAGATGATTAACTTAAACTTAAAAGATTTGAAATGGGTGAAATGAAATAAGCTGAAGTGGAAATACAAAAATGACTAAAACTAAAACTGAAATAAATGAAAGAAAACCTAATAAAATGGCAAAACTACATACAAACTAAAAGCAAAATGACAATTGAAAATATAAAGATAAGAGCTATTTTAATGCTATTTTAATATAATGCTGGACCAGTTCAACATTTCTTCTCTGAATTATTCAGTGAATTATTCAGTCACATAACTTGTCTTTTTATTGGAAAAAAAAAAACGTAATTATAACCACATCAAGTTTTTTTAATTAAAAAATAATAGAATATTAGAAACAATATTAGAAAAAAGATAACACTTTATTTTAAGGTGTCATTGTTACACGTTACATGTACTTACTATTATAATAAGAATTAATTATGCATAATTACATGCAAGTAACCCTAAGCCAAACCCTAATCCTAACCCTAACCATATAGTAAGTACATGTAGTTAATTAATATTACTCAGTACTTAAATGTATAATTACAGTGTAACAAAGACACCTTAAAATAAAGTGTAACCGAAAAAAATATTGGAAATAATGATAAAAAAACAAGTAAATTGCATGTAAATTTGTATGTTGCATGTAACTTTTTTTTGTTTTGTTATTTATTTTTTATTTTTTTTGCATCTTGGTGTTTCCACCCTGCATTTTTTAATGCAATATCTCAAAACTCACATAAAAATCTGTGGGTGGATGCAGGATGTGTAACTGGCTTACATGTAAACTTTCTTCTTAGTCAACACTAGTGTTAGAACTAATTGATTAGTCATATCAACATATAATGGAATACCACATCACATCTTTACAAATAATATCAGAAAGTATGATTAAGCTTATTTGATATTCATAACGAGTGTTACGTTTCAGCCTGTTGCGGCAACAACAAAGCCAGCACTAATTTCACAGTTTCGCTATGACTTTTGCATATAATACTGCTTATTTTTTTTCCAATAAAGAATAACACTGACTACATGCAAACTATCATTCCTAAGCTCAGGGAGAATCCCATCATCTCATTTGACTCATCTGTTTCCTACTCTATGGGGTGTCATGGTTATCCTTCACTCTTTTGAGTCTAAATCAAAAACAGATGAACAGAGAAGATATATCACCCATACGCGTTGCTTAAATGAAAAAGATGAAGATCATGTCCACTGTTACAGAGTGAAACAGAGGTTAGTGGGAAGAAACCTGGCTACGTACCATTTTATATTCTTTCCATGTTCTCTGGAAGTCCACGCTACCATCTTCACGTCTTTGGATCACGGTCCAGCCTCCCCCCGCAGACTCCATGTTGCAGTACACCTGTTTGGAAACAGACATGCACATCACACACACATATAACAAAGAGTGAAAAATGTAAGGGGGTCTGAATACTTTCCGTACCCACTGTATATACAAGGACAGAAATGCGGCAAGCCATTTATCTTGACCTTATGGATCTGTATATCCTTATAACAACAACAGATACCCCCATTAGCTTAGTGACCTCTCCAAACAGTGATTAGTGGAGAGGTCAAGTAGCAGGCCTGAGATCAAAGCTGTGGCACACAGGGACACCTGGCTGTAATCTAGCACATTGGGTAGAAAGCAGTGGTCACCTTATACACACCCAGCTGAACACACACACACCAACCTGGTTGCAATTAATCCAGTATCGGTGGCTGGAGCAACACCAAAACCAGAAATTCAGGGACAGAATATGTACATTCACGGATGCAGCCTTTTTCACACACATTCATGTGATAATGTGCACTTCTACCTCACCTGACCCTTAAAAATGACTTTTGTTGGTGTCTACATAATAGCCATTTTGATTTCTGACTCAAGCAAAATGAGCACATTTATATGTTACCACATGTACACTAGCACATTTTTAGGCTACTTGACAAAAACGTATACAATGCATCCTGTGTGAAGCCAATACTGTATGACTTGCAGAACTCAAAACAAGATAATTTGAAGTTTCTTGGTTTTCTCGAAATCTCTTATTTTGTGTTCCACACAAAAAATACCTACAGTCATACAGTTTTTGGACAATATGAGCATTAATAAATGAAGACAATTGTCATTTTTGGGGGGTTGAACTATTATTTAATAACCTCTAAATGCTTCCTGATGTTATACAGAAAAATGTAGCTCTCAACTGGACAGCCAATTGATCAAAAATTGGCTGTAGGTCTGTTCTGATAGCAAGAAAACAATGCTAAATGAAAATAATAATTAAAAATGAATTAAAATAATAAAAACTTAAAAGATGTAAAACGTAGTAAATAAAGCGGTACATAAATAAATAAATGCAGCCAATTTATTTACTTGCAGCCAAGTAAATAAATAAATGCAACCAATGTTGCAATTACTTTCAATTCTATTTAAAATAAAATAAGCAGTAAAAGAAATTAAAAGTGCAAAAAATAAAAAAACATAAAAAATACATCAAATGAAATTAAATATAAAATAAAATAAATTATTCTTTAACTGTGTGCGATCTCATGTGAAATTTTGTGCTCTGCTTGATATTATGCAGGTATGATTTTTATGTGACTTCTGCGTTTTCTTTTCTGTGCCAAAGACAGAGGACTTTAAGGTATCATTTGGGTCACCACTTCATGACAACTGTAAAATCTCGGTCCTGAAACTTCTCAAATTGTGCCATTGCGTTTACCTCTTGACATTGTATTATTCCAGCATAGCTGATCTGAAATCACAATTCCTACCTTTTTAGTCTCTTGTGGGCTAATGTTGATAGTGTAAACTCCATTTTTCTGGAAACCCGCTTGGTAGAGGTCGGCACAGTCCCGGTACTTCCTCTCCTCATCAGCTTGCTTTGTGCTGTTTGGCACCACTAAATACACAAAGAAAACCCTGTTAGAAACAGCAAAAACATAAACGAGCAGTGGAATAATAAATGGAGCTGTTTATATTGGTACTCATACATCAGAAAACGTCTGTGGATCTGCCCCCTTTGAATAAATAAAACAATTTCCACTCACTCTTCTACACAGCATGACCGAGCCTCATATTCGGCCAAACAGAACATGTCAACATTGTGACTTCCATTTCAACAAGACAGCAATAATATAGACAAACAGCCTAATGATATTTTAACAAACCCCTCAAATCTTGGCAGGTGACAGCTATTTGTCGAGACCCACTGGGCTGTGCAACAGTTTAATCCAAAATAATTTACATCAACCTCCTTGAATTTAATAAAAGAGGGTTTAAGGTGGAATGTTCTGGACCTGGACCAGAAACAGCTCCTAAAAAGGAATCCTATACGTATGTATAGAAGAGGATTATTTATAAATACATAATTGTGATTGACAATGAGTATACAGTATTTATTTCTTTAGCTTCTGCCAGCAGGCCTACATGGAGGGATGTGTAAAAAGCTGTCCGCACTTAATATCTGTTTCATGTTACAAACCCATTTAAACTATGTAAGCATAGCAGAAAAATACACTTCTGTACAATATCAGAACTAATAATGTTGAAAAATATTGCACGCTGTGGAATAAATCACATCCTGAGTTAATGGAATAAATAATACACAGTCAAATTCAAAATATTGTATCAGTTTTCATGCAGTATTTCAAATCTGGCTAGAAATATTTTGAAATTACAAAGAATAGCAAGGACTTCCAAGTTCTCTTGTTTTATCAACATGATCTTCTTTCAGTGGCTGACATATTTCTAAGTGTGAAAGTCTTTTAATCAAAGTGCTGATCTCCAGCTCTCAGAGAGGAGCGGCTCGGCTCTGACAGACCTCTCCAAGCCAACAGCTGCGTCTCTTTCCATCTGCAGACAATTACGGCGCCAATATTTTGAAACCAAGCAAGAGTCTGCGGACAAAATACTACAAGCTATAAACGTCAAGTTCCTGTTATAACAAGTGGTTTATATTTACCCACCGTGTCCTAGTTATATAGATGGAAATTCCTTCCGATTCCTCTCTCTTTTTTTCTTTCACTGCTAAAGACCGCATCTCAGTTTTCACACTATTGTTGTTTCTGTTGGGACTATTTAAGAAGAGGAGATGTCACTGCTAAGAGAGGCATGTCAGGGATGTTTAGGCAGAACTTTGATCCCTGTCGCGGGACGGAGGGCTTGGGCGGATAACCCTTCATTCAGGGATATTATTCCTAACGCTTCAGGAAAGGATTGAGTGTCAGCGACAAGGATCTCCCGCTGTGACAGGTTGACAGAGGGGAACTCGCACTGCAGCGTCTAACACAACAAAAACCCAGCTGTGTCAGACAACGGCAATTTACCGCTTATAGCAAGGAGCTGAAAATGGCAGGACTGGAGAGCAGAGCAACAGACAAGTTCAATCCGAGGAAGGACAAAATACAACGTTGATAAAAGAAAATAAAGCCTAATGTTTATTACTGTACATGCAAATACAAATATAAGGAAAAACATGTATAAACATGATTAAATAATAAAATAAATGACATGATGCTCATTATTGCACACTTAAATAAATATATATAGCAAAATGAAATATGATTAAAAAGAATAAAATAAAATATAATAAAAAAAATAATAAAATAGCCTTTCTGTAGTTTAAATGGAAGAGTATGACACTAGCAATGCCAAGGTCATTGGTTCAGTTCTGTTCAAAACCTGAAATAAAATGTGCATCATGAATGCAATGGAAGTCACTTTACATAAAAGTGTCTGCCAAATAAATAAAAAAAAAAGAATAAAATAAATAAATAAAATAAAATAAAATGAAATGAAATTAAATGAAATTAAATGAAATTAAATCCTAGTGCTTATTCTCGTACATTCGAATAAAAAAAATGATCATGATTATTCAAGTTATTGTAAAGAGTTACAAAATATTTTAAAATGACTAGGGTTTCTCTTATGTTGAATTTGGAGTTTGGTTCTAACCGATGGCAAGAACTACACTGTGATCTTTGCTCGTCTGAATGATCAGGAAAAGCTTTACATGTAAATCTTAGCTAAACTGTGGTAAATTGAGCTATTAAACAGCTTGTGTCCTGGCTCAAAAAAATTATAACCACAATATTTATTCACATTAAAATTCTCGGTGGTTCAGTTGGGACTTTTGTTTGGAACAAGTTTATGTGAAAAGAACATCCAAGTAGAGTGATTTTATAAATCAGAATTCTCCACACGCTCGCAGACACAAAACAAAGTTTAAAATAAGCAAGAACTGAAAATCCCAGTGCGGTGTGTTGGCGAAGCGAAAACTCAAACTACTGCACTGCATATTTATATAAACAACTGAAACGACAAAGTCTGATTCTTTCAAATGGACTGAGAAAGCATGAAAATGATGGCCACCAGCTGAGCGAGCAGAGTATTTTTTAAAAGCATTCCCTAAGCCATAAACCATTTTAATCATAATGTGTGCCTAAACCCAAAAATCATATTTTGACATATTACCTTTTTATATTTACATGCAGCACTGAGTCATAGCCTGTCCCTAGAGAACTTAATTTGGAGACTGATTAATTTGGAGACTTAATTTGATTTTAATCAATAAAAATGATTGATGCCAATGAGTAAATAATAATTAGCAAATAGGGATTTATTACAGCCATCCAAAGGGGAGAACAGCTATATCTAATAATGCAATCTAATGATGCAAGTTACGCTTATATTATATTTTTTCATAATAACCCTTAATACTGCTTCAAATAATATCCAATAATATTTTTTACAAATAACAGCTTGGTATTTATGAACTCACTACAATCTAGCAACATCAAAGATGCTGTATGTCTGAAACCATCATATTTCTTCTATTGACAGAGGTCAAGTAAATATCTACAGCGGATCTAAATATTTATAATTAATTATAACTAGTTATGATTAATTATTCATATTTCCCTTATGAGCTGATTCGCTACAACGCACATGGTGAGGTAAACTGTGCTAGTTAACTTGCAGAGAAGTTCAAATATTTAGGTACATGAAGGTTAAGCACATTAAACAATGTCATATTCATTTTTGAATGAGAAAAGCAACATGATAAACAGTGCTCACTCTCTTTTTTTTCTCCCAAAAAGGCAGTTTAGAGCTTTGCTAGAACATTGTTTTGCAAATTTAGTGGAGTCATGATTTCAGACAGACAATCTAAGAGACCTACGGTGCCTTCCTTGCCACCTATATGGACGGGTCCTCCCACAGTCATTAAGTTTGATGAATTCAGCCAGAGGCCAGAAAAATGACCTCTACATCACTTTGGAACTGGACAATGGAACAAAGGGCTATTTAAAATCTCCATTTATCATAACTTTAGTAATTGTGCACAATTATACTTGCTTGTTAAAATCACCAAGAAATCATGTTATGGGTCCCACCTTACCATTACGCCAAACCACAGTGAACCTAAACTGTATTTTACACGCTCAATTGACCCACTAAATGAACCCAATTGTGAGATTTTATTTAGGTTTTACGTCCAGGCACAGATCAAAACCAAGCTGGAATCAAAAATGGTTTCATTTAGTGTGACTGGCTGATGTACAAATGGGAACGTCTAAATCCAAGAAGCTGCAGGGTGTTCCAACATGTGCTGAGATACTTTCCTGTGTGTGTTCTCTTCCTGGGGTACTTGAATATTTACTGTCAGATCATAAAAAAATAAATAAGCATTCATTTCATAACTTAAATTTACAAATGTGGGACCTGGGATACCTTCAAAGCAATGACTACATGTTCAACAAATAATTAAACTAGAACAGAGCAGTAGATGTCAACCATAGTTACACAAACCCAAAAGTTTGGGGTCAGTAAGATTTTTTTTAAATTAAAAAAAATATATATTTTTATTCAGCAATGATGCATTGATCAAAATTTACAGCAAAGACATTTACAATGTTACAAAAGATTTGAATTTCAAATATATACTGTTTTTCTTTCTTTTTTATTCAAAGGCCTTGTTGAGCATAAGAGACTTCTTTCAGAAACATTCAAAAATCTTAATGACCCAAAACTTTTGAATGGTAGAGTAAGTGAAACACAACGAAACTTGGTAAATATTGCTTCATGTTGTTCTAAACTCATATGACCTATGTTCTTCATAGGAACACTAAAGAATAAGTTTAGCAGAATGTCTGAACTCTCCATATTTCAATTCTGCCATATCCATATGATCCTGAAATTTAACTAATTATTCGCTGAAAATCTTGTCTTGCCTCTGGTCACCATTCACTTCCAATGAACGGAAAAAAAAGAAGCTTGCATGAATACAGTCTTATAAATAGCTACTTTTGTATTCCAAAGAAGGTAGAAAACAGGTCACATGGGTTTCAAAAGACATGAATGTGAGAGGTTTTCATTTTTTGATTAAATTTAACTAGCTTAACAAGCATGGCTTCATGAGAAAGACCATGTTTGTTAACCAGTATTTTTTGCTGGTAAACAGCATGGCTTTAATAAACAAAACTGTCTGATTTTTACAGCGTGAAATGAAACCATTCTCATTTTAAGGTCAAATCAAAACCCAAAAGAGAAAAAGCCTGCAACAGGAAGTAGAGTTGCTTTTGTGCCCTCACAGAGAGACAGAAGCTCAGGAGTTTGAGTCGACTCCATGACCTGCACAGTCCCATCTCAGACATTTAAGGTAAATTTTCTGTGACCACAGAGATGTGGGGCAGACGTCGGATAGACATGGGGCCAAGAGGCCACGCTGGGGTCGCAGCGGGGGGAAACGAGGGTAATGAGTTCACTACACTGACTCCTGCTGGTGTGAAGGCAACCATGAGGGTTAGCGGGAAATCGCCAATCCCAGATCACTGCGCTGGGGCTACGTTAAGTCTGGCCTGTAACTCAATCAGGGGCTGTTTGACATTTCAGTCAACTGTTAACCACAGGCAGTGTGCTGAAGCGTGATAAGCCACATCCGTTGAGGTTCACAGCACTGTCTGGCTAAATGTGACGTTTAACCAGAAAACAACACATTTCACACCTACCAGGAAGAAGCTTTTCTCATTGATAACAAGCTATTTTTGTCTAAAAATTAGTTTTGTTTCACTTCCTGTTTGACGTGCTGCATGCACCATTTTTTTTTTTGTTCAGGGCGCCACTGGTGGTCCTGGCTTGCTTGGTGAAACAGGTGAGATAATATATGACCAGAAAAAGCAAAAACACTAAATAAATTAACAACTAAGCTTGAAAAAGGACATCTTTCAAGCAATAAATAAATTTTTAATTTAAATAAATAAATACATTTCAAAAAGTAGTATTTATTTATGAATCTATATGAACCAAGGACCAAATTCTCCCATGACAAACAAATAAATATAATTTTCTTTCTAATAATAATATGCATAACTTAAATACTTTCCATGAACAAATCTGTGCAAAAAATCTGATCTGTGCTTACATGCTGTACCACCGTCCTTCGCGCAGAGGCTGAGCAGGTTGCGTACGGTGTCCACCAGGTCCTGCTGTTGTCTCTGCAGGGCGGTGCTGTTACTGGTCGTTCGACTCAGCTGAGCCTCCAGCTCCCGGATCACTGAGCTCTGCCTGCTAACCAGCGCCTGTAGACTGCTCTTCTCCTCCCGCAGGGCCTCCAACTCCTCTCTGTGCCTGTCCTCCATCTCCTGCATTTTTACCTCCAGAAACCTGAGCAAAAATGATGGAAAGCCATAGTAGAAAAAACAAGAACAGGATGGCTAAAAGTAAAAAAATACTAAAAGTAAAAATGATGGGAAATGTAACAATTTAAAGCAGTGTTCCTTCAAGTATGGGTCAAATCGGGCCACATACTCATAAATTTGGGTTACAATATTTTCAGCCAAAAAAATCATTGTTACAGCAATCAGTGTAACTACTATAAAACCCTTAAATTAATATGGAATCTCCTTCAAAGTCAAGTCATTTTTATGTGTTTTAAGACTGTGGTGACCAGTTTTTGGCAGAAACTAGTTTCCATGGTAAATCTTAGTCAAGGTTTACACAACACAGCATCAAAGCATCATATCAATGGCAGTTTTATTCAAACTTTATAGTGTTTATTACATTTTACCAGTTACAATGAATAACTTTTTTCTTACCTACAATTTGACTGTGTTTGTTAAAATGTTTTACTTCAAATGTTCTATGAAACAATAAGCATTTTTTCTTCATTGCTATTGCTTTTAGTCATGAAAAGCAAATAAATGCACTGAGAAAGATAACATTGATATATCATATTACATGCTTTGTACATGTGGCTCACAGGTAAACAAAACATCTTTTATGTGTCATCATGGGCAAAAAAAAATGTAATGAAAAACTTCATTAAGGTTTGACTATATGATGATACTGTATTTATGTGTCAGTATTCAAAGGCAGAAGAAATGGAGGTCGTTACAGCTGTAGTAAATATTGATATGAATGTAGCCAATATCCATAATTTACACAGCATACAAACAAACAAAGTTCATCTTACAGCTTTGAGCATTAGTGAAAGTCTAAAATGGATCCAAGCCTTAAATCTGCGCTGTACATCTTGGAAACCTGATGCATGCTGGGGTGGATTCACCAGCTTATTAAAGCAAAATTCAGTCCACATAAAGAACTTTGAAGAAATGCAAAATTAATTTTAGATTGAAAGAGGAGAAAGACATAACATCAATCTATATTATAGGATGAGTAATTATATCAGCACTGGTAATGAAAACGCTAGACATAAACACATTTTCAGATTTAGATAAACGCATAGAGGGATATGAATGCTTGTGTGCTTTCAACAACAGCTGGGCTCAAAGCAGAGAGATCACTGGGAATTAAACCATCATTTTGACAGTAACATGCATGTCCCATCAGAACAATCAATACATAGAAAATTGGAAAGTGTTCCTAAAGCTTTGCATTGCAAAATTCATCTTCACAGAGGACAAAGTTTAACGCCGGATCAGGGGACATCACTCATGTCTTGGCAGGTTCTGTTGCACTGCACCATATGGGACCAAGCTAATGTCTGAGAGCTTGTGTTGTCAAGAATTGAAAATAATTTAGTGTAATGATCTGTATTGTGGTTCTGGCATAAAAATCTATATTTCCTAAAAATTACAAGCGAGTGAGATTTGAACATTTGTACTGGCAGATTAAACAGCAGCACAGTGAGACAGCTTAAGCAGGGTCCCTACTGTAGCTCTGAAATGTTTTTTTTTGTGGCTCAGATTTTTTTTTTTTTGTGTGCAGTGTTGGAGAGTAACAAATTAAAAGTAGCAACGCTAATAACTTAATATTATGGATAATTACACACTAGACATTTATGGAAGTCTTTTTTTATATAAATAAAATAAATATTTTGTCCAACCCCTTATATATACAATTTTATATATTTCAATTTTGTATATTAGTGTGTGAGAAGTGGTGTCGGAGTGGGAGGTTTACCCATTCTTGTCATGGATCTTGTTGATTTCATTTATCTGTATCATAAGTTCTTTCTCCAGCTTGTTGGTGGATAGTGAATTCTCCAGCAGCTGAATTTCCAACCTTGATGTCTGATTTAAAACCTGAAAACAATAACATTCCAATAAAAATACAGTAATCCTTCCGCAAAAACACAGACCTTAAAACCATTAAGTAAGTTAATACTAACTGAGCAGAAGTCATAAACAGCACCGCTATACCGCAGTACCATAGCACTTAGGAACAGTTATTCTCAACCTCAACCTCTTATTTGACAAATCAGCAAAACACAACTTTACTGCATCCCTCTGCGTCTCATTGAGGCACACAAGTCATAAAGAGATTGAGCAACAAAAACATTAGCATGATACTTAAAAAGAGACTGTCTAATGCAGCACTAGTGCTTTTCTTGGCTGTATTTGAGCCGTATTAAAGGGATACATAGAAAAAAGTTTGTTCGCTTAATGGAGCATGAAATCGATCCTGGGACGAACATACCTGTGTCTCGACATCGGTTAGCTTGCGCGTCTGCTCAGCTGTTTGGGAGAGAAGACTGGTGCCCATCTCTAATATGGCCGCCGTGTGGTTGTGAACAGCACTCTGTTGTAACTGCACTATCTCTGTCTTCATATTGTCTTTGATGTAGTTCTCAATCTGTGGTGACAAGCAAAAAGACCATGTTAGAAAAGATCCATTGAAATCGTCGTAGTTAAGGCATGTCTATGAATGTCTTTCCAGTTAACAAAAATATGTTCTAAGAATGCTTTGCTAACGTTCCCGCTAAGTTATGAAAAAGTTATTTCTGAAAGTTCTCTGAACGTTTAAAATGTCCAGTTTTTTTAAATTTTGTAAAAACACTTTTTTGCTTGGTTAAATGAATTTTAAGTGAGCATTCCATTTTATCATTTGACAAACATTAGTTCCATGAATGATGTACAAATAACATTTTTAGAACATTATTAAAAACCATATGACTTTGAATGGACATTCTATTAACAAAAACGTTTGTTCATACCTTTGAGAGACCTCATACCTTTCATACAGCTAAAGTTCTGAGAACATTCTGTGTTAGCTGGATTTGCACCATTTAACCACATAATCAGTCTGGCATTTATTTTAAAGAAATTTATCACAAGTAAAAAAAAAAAATTAATTAAAATAAAAAATGCACAGAATTGAAAATTGTCAATTTTAAATGACATTTAAAATGGCAAAAAAGCCAAAACTAAAGTTAAAAAAGGAGGAGAATCAAGCTCAGATGTCAACGTGACCTCTGAAGCCTGAAATAATCGACACTCCAGTGGCTGTAAAATCTGTTCAGAGGTAAAACACCCTTAACTTGACAACTCCAACAGTCCTAAAGACACTTTAACACCCAGAGCACATGGAGAGTTTGACAAACTTTTTAAGAGGCCAATAAAATGAAAGGAGACACCATTTCAGCACAAGGACACAGGGGTAATCAAACCCATCACAGTTATGACTTCCTTTAAAAAAATTAAATAAACACACAGTGACTCTTTAAAGAAAGGATATTTCCATGTTGGCACAATTTTAAAGCAATTTCTTATCTTAGCCTCTTCATGATGACCTGCAGCGGCTCAGTTTTAAATGAACTTGAACAGAGCAGTAACACAAATTCTAGAAGAGTCAGTCTTAAAGGTAGGTGGAAGCAGATGTAGGTCGTTTGTTCAGAGAGGAAGAGATGTAGATATCTAGCTACAGGAGACGCTTGGGTTTATCATGAAGGCTTTCATTCTAATCTTCTAGCTGGAGAGATGACAAGACCAGAACAAGCTTTAGAAACACAAAGACTACTTCTGTTGATTAATCCTCAAGAGATGACCACTGACACTGAGGTATATATATATATATTTATTCAGTATATTAAATGCTTTCTATATATAAATATATAATTGTAGAAAAATCTAAAATATAATTCAAATTTTATCGGTCATCGCATGACAATTTTCTGCTTATTATCAGCAATAATTTTAATATCAGTTCATCCCTATGCAAAACTGTCCAGCATGCTTCACTCTTCAACTTTTTCAAGCTGTGAGGTGCAACTGGTTCACATGTACATCAGGACACGTCACCAAGTGAAATCTATACACCCTGATGCGATGTGTGATGGAAAATGTCTGGCTGCAAGACACTTCAGCAAAATCGACAGTGACAACAGAGTCGCCTACTCCATTTTTTCCACGATTCCAGCGGGCCGTGTTGCTCCACTTATTACATCATGAATGATCCCATGTGAATCCATTGAAGAGAGCAGACCTACAGGGAGCCAAATTTTAACAGGACTCCATGATTTTTCAGACTGCTTGTCCTGTTCAATTACAGTTCAAGGACCTGATTGTCACCATGCTGTGGTTTTATGGGTTTCAATGGCATTTCAGTGAACAGCTTTATCATATTTATTGCTGCTTTAGTCATTCCATCAAGGTTGCTTTGTTTCGTATAGTTCAAATCAAGGAGTGTTGTTCAGCAACAAAGAGCCAAACTCAGCATGCACTATAAGCCTAACGAATCACTTGGCACAGCAAAGCATGTTTGTTTAGAAAATAGAAGTTGCGGTTGAATAAGAGAAATCGTCTGTAATTTCCAAGTTTGGAGCCCTTCAGCTTATGACTCTATGCAGAGATAAAAAATAAAAAAAGTTGTGATTGAGATATGAAGTCATCGTGATATAGATATTACAATATGAAAAACAAAAAAGGAGAAACCAAATGAAAGCGTGTGGAAAGCTCTCTCTTCACTTGCCAACATGTACGCCAAACAGTTGTGAACACACAGTCAGAAACACAGAAATTCAACCTGTTACTGCTTTAGCCACTAGCAATCTGTCATGTAGAATTAAGATTGCAGACTAATATTCCTTCTTGGCAGTGATTATAAAGCCAATGCCGTTGTTTCGATTACTATGTAATAGGTGATTGTGAAGCAAGTTATACAGATACAAGATACTCTTTACAATAAACAGCCAAAGCTTGATGGAATTGATTGGAAGGAATACAAAAGACCTATAACACTGCAGGCATTAGACACATTTTAGCTGCAATTCGATCAGTAGTTTGCTCTAAAAATGACATTAAGCTTCGCAATCTGGGTCTGTGTCTTCCATTTAGCTCTCTCTATGGGTAAAGTGTTTGACTCTAATCCAGTTTAAGATGCAACGGAGGTTTGGACTCTGAAACAATGTTGGCCGAAGCTTTGAGAGTGAATTAAGTCACCTTCAGAAGGGTGTGGGTGCTATTCTGGTGTCCTGGAGAAACATTAGCCCAGAGATCCTTTGCTTTGACTTTCTGAGGGAATTTTGCTTGTGTCATGCTCTAAACTAGCGGGTGTCCTGCATGGAACAAAGGAAGGAGAATCAAGATTACACAAACAGAAACATTGTGTAAAAAATATCAGAGGAAGCAGTAAAGGGCTTTAGTGGGTGTATGGTTGACGCTTGGGTTTATCATGAAGGCTTTCATTCTAATCTTCTAGCTGGAGAGATGACAAGACCAGAACAAGCTTTAGAAACACAAAGACTACTTCTGTTGATTAAACCTCAAGAGATGCCCACTGACGCTGAGGTCATTAGAGATGATTAGAAATTATTATCTGTGTTCATCACTTACCCTCATTTTCCAAACACTTATAACAGTACAATTAAATGTAAAAATATAATTATATGTAATAACAATTTCATTAATTTGATAAAAACATTTAAATTTGAACAAATGTTAATAAATTATTAGTGTTTTTAACTTAACGTTTAATTTACTGTTTAATAATTTAGTAACAATAAAACTAAAGTGTTAAATGTAAATATTTGTAATTATGCTCTAAACTAGCGGGTGTCCTGCATGGAACAAAGGAAGGAGAATCAAGATTACACAAACAGAAACATTGTGTAAAAAATATCAGAGGAAGCAGTAAAGGGCTTTAGTGGGTGTATGGTTATTTCCCACTTCCATTCACAAATAAACGTGCCTACCCAAAGACAACAGATGAGGTATAGAAAGAGAAATATCATGTTTTTTCAATTGGCTTGAGTCATTTAAAAGCATACTAGTGTTGGCAATGACTAATAAAATCAAATTTAATGATGAAAATGAACCTATGTTGAGCTAATGTTAAATAACAGAAGAAAAACACTGCATCTAATGGAGATAGAATGAGATATGTCACCTGCACTTTGTCTCAAAGACACATTCACACATGTGGGAGTTTGATCGAACAGAGTACGATCAAGTATAGGACCCCGTCGAACCCGTTGCACCTGGGGGATTGGCTTACATCTCACAGCTGCCCACCAGCAGAGGGTCATGCCAAATGAGTCAAGGTCAGCCATATCAGTGCTCAAAAATCTGACCTGAGAGAAGTCACGTCTATATCGATATCACTATGCCGTTTAAAGCCGGCGAAGTTTGCCGCTTGACTTGCAGATTGATTGTGTTTATTTGCAAAGTGCACTGATGTGAGAAGGTGAACGGGGCAGCTCTACTGAGTGATGTTCAAGAGGCCCAAATTTAAAGGGATAGTTCACCCAAAAATGAAAAAATACCCCATGATTTACTCACCCTCAAGCCATCCTAGGTGTATATGACTTTCTTCTTTCAGACGAATACAATCGGAGTTATATTTAATGTCCTGGCTCTTCCAAGCTTTATAATGGCAGGGAATGGGTGGTATTATTTAATAGTCCAATAGAAGTCCAATAAACTGCATCCATCCATCTTAAAAAGTGTCCCACACGGCTCCAGGGGGTTAATGAAGGCCTCCTGAAGCAAATCGATGCATTTTTGTAAGAAAAATATCAATATTTAAAACTTTATAAACCGTAATCTCTAGCTTCCACTAATGTAGTATGCACGTTCACAATAGAAGACCATTCCGGCGGATGACGTAGGCGTAGTGTAAGCTCCGGTGAGAAGTGACGAACACGGAAGTGCAGAGAGCAAAACAAAACACCGGTCACAAATTAGAAGTACAAAACGAGGATTTGTAAAGAAAAATGTCAGAGGATTTCGATATAAGCCAAGAGGAGACTTGTTTTCCTTTGTTAAACAAAGGAAACTTTGCTTCCTTTGCTCCTGTAAACAAACCTTGGTTCTTGCGAGACTAGCATATTCTCACCGGATCTTACGCTACGCCTACATCCTACGTCATCTGCTGGAACGCGACTCTCCCATGTACGCACATACTACAGTTAGCAGAAGCTAGAGATTACGCTTTATAAAGTTTTAAATATGGATATATTTCTTACAAAAATGCATCGATTCGCTTCAGGAGGCCTTCATTAACCCCCCCGGAGCCGTGTGGGACACTTTTAATGATGGATGGATGGATGGATGCAATGGATGGAGTCCTTCAGAAAAAAAGGAAACACTCCTTCCCAGAATCATAAAAATACACATTACTCAAACTCTGGAGGTGACAAAGGGGTTTTACCCATTTAGAGAGCCATAACACCCGACTTGCTTAAAGAGCCACTAAATCACCCGACTGTGTGCTGAAGAAAATCACCCAACAGAACAAAATATCTTCCTAACTGCTAGTTGGCACAGGACTGTAAATGTTTAGGGGTCTGTAAATTACAGGACGGGTCACATGATGAACACTGAGGTCAGTGATAATGACTACGGCTGGTGCCGTGA